ACCCCTCCCAATTAAAATCTTTTTGGCATTTTCTCTTCTCATATTTTTTTATTCATCCTCGTTCCGCGACTCCTTCACTGCCAAGCATCCTCATCTTCATTCGAACACACTATTCAGCAACCGTGTAATCCTTGGTATGGTTTTTCTTTATATTTTGAGTGTTGTTGGTATATATGTTCTTTGGATACGTTTGTACGTGAATGTCTGTGCTTTTTTTTTTCTTTTACTTTATATGTTAGTCATAGGGTAATGAAAATATTTCTGTGTATTATGTTAGGCGATTTTGTTTTCAAATTCGGTGTCTTGTCCGCTCCTATTTGAGGCCATTGCTGGTTGCTTGTTCGGCTCTGGGTTTTTATTTATAAATGTATATATATATTTTTTGCTTGAATTGGTTATTAATTGATTTTTATGTCATATCTTGCTTCAAAACAGAATGGAACTGTGAAGCAGGTAAAATTAGTTGGTAATGAAGCATATGTATGATGTGGAGCTTGTTGAGCATCAATTCTTGAAAAAAAAAACAGTTTTAGGGGCTTCCATATTGATTCTTGAATACTCCTTTTACTTCTGCTTTAATTTGTTGTGTTCGGTTTTCTTGTTAGTTTTGTTTGACCAATCATATTTTTTATATGAACAAAAAAGCTACTTTTTAGAGATGGTTGCATGTATTTTGCTTGTTTTCAAACTGGCTATGCACATGGACACAAACTTGGTCTCTTGCATTAGTATTTCATCCTTGAAATACTACTACAAAAATCATTTACGACGTCGGACATATAACGTCAGTTTTTACAGGAACAACCACAAGGTCACGTTGGCAATTTACCCATCCCTGGTACAACATTCACCGCTAGCGCTCGTCGTGAAGGCAACTGGTCTCTCGAGTACGATCTTTCACCCTCCAAGGTGTGGTGGACCTTGCAGCTAGGAATGCGGCACAACCCTTCCAAAGACACATTTTCTACGCTAGGGAGCCGCATACTCAATGTTGAAGTCTCGTGGGGCAAATACATAAACTTTGATGGCGAATTCACTTACGCAAAACAAAAACAATACTAGGAGTGGGCTGAAGACACTCAGCTACTTCGGCAAGACTCTAAAGAAAGGCATGATATATGATGTTGTGTATGTGTCATTGTTCACATATAACCGCAACACTAACATTGTTTAAGTCTTTTGCGAAGCGTGGTGTCCACTAACCAATGCAGTCGTATGTGAACAATGACGCATACACAACATCGTATATCATACTTTTCTTTAGAGTATTGTCAAAGTAGCTGAGTATGTCTTCAGTCCACAACATCATATATAGTCGAGTTCCGGTGCGGCGAGACTGTAACACCCCCGATTTTCACCAACATTTTAAAATTTAAAATTTAAAGATAAGCAAACTAAACATCGATCAACATAAAGCGAAAACTATTAAAACGGGGAAAGGTGTTATGCCACACCCATAGAACTATGGGTGCACAGGCTAAATCATCAAAACGTAACATAGGTCTAGGCACACAGGCCAACAGAAGCAAATCATCTAACCACAGGAGCTACACTATCTAGAGTCCTCATCTAGCGCGCACTCCGAACTAAGCACAACCTGAAAAACATTGGGATAACACCTGATCAGCGAATAATGCTAGTAACCCATCAATACGCATTAAATAGCAATATATATATAGTTATAATCAAAAACGTTTGAGACTGAGGAATATAGTATATATCATTTTAAAACCAAGAGAGGAAATCAACATCAAAGACTCATCACACTCTCAACAAGAACGAGGATCATCAACCTCAACAAGACCACCAAAACCACAACAACAATGGACAACACAACTCTAGATGCAACCTACCATTCACAAGGTAGAGTTCATCAAAGACATGCATATAAGCAAGAAAATACACAATCACATAATGACAAATTCATGTTCCAACCTTATACCTTAGTACCACCCTTATGGCTACCCTCGACCTTATCACAGTTCCAACCTGTACCTCCGAGTGCCACCCTGTACTTCTAAGTCCAACCTTTTCCTGGTCTCGGACCATCGTCCCCCACCAATCTACACCACCAATCATAATACCACCGATCTCAAGTACACGAGGGTACTGTTCAATTCATAGTCACATACCACCGATCTAATGAGCAAAGCTCAAGTAACAAAACCACCAATCTCATTCATAGTCACACATAGTCATCATTATCAAGAAGACTAAGGCTCATCAATAACCCCAATCAAGTATCAATGAAGGGTACACCAATTTGTACAAGATAACATCATAAGAATCAATCAAGAGAATTCAACGAGGTCATGAGACAATACTCAACAACAAAGGACTACCATCCAACATCAAAATGATTGGCAACACGAGTTGCCAACCCTCAACAAGAAGGAACAAACCATACATACTAGCATATCAACATCAAACTAGCATGCTCATCAAACGGGTAAACCAAAATGGTTCCAACGAACCTTCAAGACTCATAATAGCCCAACAAATCCCAAAGTTAGACCCTTAGCACAATTCAAGACACCAAATCCTAACATGGATTCCTAACACATCGTTCTAGACATACGAAACATCAAGAAGACTCAAAAAGAGCTCAATAATCCAACAACGGGAGGTCAAAACATCAATATCCAGAAGAAAAGGATCACGGGGAACAAATCCCCGTTACCCGCTCATATGTTCCCCGCGGGTGGGGCCACGGGTAGGTCCCCACCCGTGGGTCTGCCCGCAGGGTACACACCCACAACCAGCCTGTTCCCCGCGGGTGGGGCGGTGGGTAGGCCACTGCCCGCCGTTCCGCCCGCGGGGTACGATACCTGTACACAAATTTTCCCTTCGGGGATTTTCATCATCAAGGTCAAGTTCAAGTCCAAAACATCCAAAATCTCACACACAACAAAGATATGACTTGAACCCAAGAAATAGCCAAGCAATGGCATTCAAGAAACCTAAATATAAGCTCTAAACATGCATCATCACAAGATCATGCATCAAATCTCACAAATCACATCAAGAACATCAAATAGAAGCTAAGAATCATCATTTAGGTAAGAAAATAGGTTTTGTATAGCATGGGTTACCTTTGTAGACCACAACCTCTTCCTTTACTCTCTCCTAAGCCTCTTCTTAGAGCTCTTCTTCCCCACCAACTTCTTACACAAAACAAAACACAAGAAAGATTCTAACTTAGATAAAGACACCCAAAAGATGGCTAAAAACACTAAATAGCTAAGAATCTTACCTTTTCCTATGCTTAGGAAGGAGAAAGTAAGAATCTTGGTGTGGGATCTTGCAAAGCTAGAAGGTTCTCCTTTTTGCTTGAAGAATAAGCTAGGTTCTTTTTAGAGAGATGATGGAGTGTTTGGGACTTAGGCTTGAATAAGAAATGAATGGAATGTCTTGCTAGGGATAGCTTGAACAACAATTCATGGGTGAAATGTCACTTTTACCCTTACTAAGGTTGGAAAGACAAGGGGGTAAAGGTACAAACCATAAAGCACGAGGTACAGTTGATTGACTTAAGTGACTAGTCAAATTCTAGTCCCTCGACTATTAAATTTCAGGATTTTTAGAAATGGATTACCAAAGAAGGCTAGGATTAATTCTTCAATTAATCCCAATTAGTATTTAGATTTACAGGGTGTCACAGAGACCCTCCCGTGCGGTCGTGCGGTGGTTTTCAGAATACATTGGTCCTTTGACTTTTAAAACCGCCGCACGACCGCATTTGGTGTTAAGTGTGTGTTAAAATTGGTCATTTAACTTTTAATTGCACCAAAATAGTCCTTTGACTATAGTGAAAACCCTAAATTACCAATTTTACCCCTTATTTTAACACACACTTAACACCAAAACTAACGGAAGATCATTTTGGCTTAAAATTCAATAGCCGGAGGACCACTTTGGGTGCAATTAAAAGTCAAGGAACCAATTTGAGAAAAGACCATAGTCGGAGGACCATTTTGGGAATTAACTTTTTTTCATATTATAATCTTGATCTAGAGCTAGGCGCCAGAAGTATCCTCATTATTTAATATATAAAGGAGCAATTATTAAGGCATGGCTCAACTCTCTAAAAAGAAATGAATTCTCTCTATATAACACATACACCATTGAATGTTAACCATATAGGTTACAAATGGATGTTTGTACGAAGAGAAATAAAAATAATGAAGTGGTGTGATAAAGCGAGTTTTGTAGCTTAAGGGTTCACACAGAGACCCAAAATTATTTTTAATTTAAAAACACTCTCCTAGAATAGATGGCATTAAGTTTCGCTAATTACCATCATTGGCAGTAAAAATAAATTCGGATATGCAATTAATACGTTTATTATTGAGTTGAGAAAATGTGTTTGAGATTGAGTAAATTTTAGAAACACGTACTTTTTGTAGCATTCCCCACAAACCGTGCGAATGATGTTTTTTTATGAATTTGACCCACCATAAATTGGTTAACACGCACGGGGAAATCATGGTATAATATTCACAGGGCCCTGAGTTCTTAGAGTGCAACAATCAAGCTCAAATCTAAGCCTAATTGGATAGCCGGCATGCATAGTACCCATCTTAGACAAGTGAGGAAGACATTTGAACCGAAGACTCATGTTCTGAGGTGAAGGTAACGATGTCTAAATGGAAAAGACCCTTATTTATGGTGTCCGAGAACTTATTTATGCCCCTATTCTTTTAATTTTTTATGGCCCCACCAGGAAAGATTCTCCTTTGGCAGCCCACAAATTAAATTTGAAATATATCTTATTACCTCTTATTAATTGACCAACATATAATAGTAGTAGTCATAGATGGATACATATATGTGGTCTTTAATTAATTTGCTCAAATGAATTCATATAGAATGGTAATAGTATAATTGTGGTCAGATTTTTCACAAAGCTATATATGTACAAATTAAAATACGGCCGGTTCCCTAATCTGCTCGATCAACACGTACCGTATGTACTGCAGTTAATTAGCTAGCCATACCAATTAGGCCATGGAAGAGAGCTTCCCCAGCAACCCCATTCTAACACACATCAAATATCTATACACCTCCTTCACTTTTCCCTCTAAGAATTTAACCCCATTTTCCAATTCATCGCAACTCCTCTTCAATTCTTCTACTCTCACCCTAAGCTTACTACAGTCTTGAGATCTCAATTCTTGGCGTAATTCTTGAGCTAACCACACTGTGTTTTGTAGTTCCCGGACCTGCAAACTCTTTTTAGTCTCTTTCTTGAGGTAATTGTTTCTTAACTCTTGCAACAAAGATAGCCACGACTGGTACGAGGTTGCCGATCCACTCATCTTTACTACTGTCGTGTTGTGCCCATTCCCATGTTTTAACAGTGTACTGTCGAGAATTTCAAATATCGTTGAAGTAACCACTGACGATCCATCCAAAATCTCTTCTAACTCGGATCTTAGGTCGTATTTGTTTTTGGTTTCTCTCGAGTTCATACGCTGATGTTCAACAATTTTCTTCAAACTTGGAATAAGAGAGGAAGTAGACGACTTTGTGCTTTCTATTCCCATGGCCTGGCACGACTGCAACAGTTTCTTGGCACGCGCAACCGCCATTGAAGTAGGAGGGAACATTCTGCTTCGACCTTCGAGGCAGTGAAGAGCCAACCTCAAAGATTTAACGTACTCGCAAACGTTGTCCAGTTTGTCCCCCAACCCATTGCAGGCATCCAACAGATCAATGCTGTTCTCCTCCAGATAACGCTCCATGGCTTCGCGATCCGACGGCTCGCCGAAGCTGGGTAGAGATTCGTGGGCGAGCTTTTGGGTGGCCACTAAAGCATCGAGTGCATGAGCTAGAAAGGACACGGTCATGACGCAATCATTAGAAGATGGTCGTGATGTTGATGATGATAATAAGGTTTTAAGGTTGGAAGTGAGGTGCTGATTGAATAAGGTTTGGATTGGAAATGGAACCACCATGGAAGAGGAGCTCGATAGCCTCAACGAGAGATTTGCCAACATCTTTGACGACTTCATGGTTACCTTCGCTTCTGGCCTCCGCTGCTTAGCTTCAATTCTTTCTTTAAGCTCCCTGTCGCATCAAACCTCGTTTATAAATATCCCAACTGTAGCCAATTATTGGCAAAAGTCCTTGGGAAAAAAAAATCATGTATTAAATTTAGGCAAAAACTTGCTTGTGGGACAGTGAGACGTGTCGGATGGAAATCATTATTGTGTGGACGTATTTTGTATATTGTAAAATAATGTACATTGTATTTAGGGGAGGTACATTTTTTTGTATACTGAGTGTATATTATATTATATTATATAATGTATATCCAGTACAAAAATAATGTACATTTAGTATATTAAAAATGTATATTTTGTTATGGTTCATACAACATTGTGTGATCATGGTCCACACAATAATTTGTTGTCGGATGGTAGACAATTGATGTATAAATATCATAAGTTTAGTTATAAGTATTACCATATTTATCATTAGTACAGTAACAATTAATTTTATCCTAAATAGTATTACAATTTCATATATATACGTATTACAATACCTATCATCAGTAACGATTTATTTTTATTTCAAATTGATATTAAATTTTCTCCGAGTATTACAATTCCTTTCATAAGTAACATTTCATATAAATATTACAATATTTACATTAGAATTACAATTACACTTTGTAAATATCACAATTTCAATCAATTATAAATATTACAATATTTAATAATTATTTTATCTTAAATAGTATCACAATTACACATATAAATATTACAATATATATTATAAGTAACAATATTTTTTTTCAAACTGATATTAAATTTTGTATAATAAATATTATAATTTCTATCCTTAAAAAAAAAAAAAAAAAAAAAAAAAAAAAAAAACAACTATTATAAATTTGATTCATGACACGAAATCTCGCAATTGTGTGACTTAAATTTATATTTATATGGGACCCAATATGTAAGGATGTGCTATCAATTTATCTCATGAGGACCAATCAAAAAGTTGGTAGGTATATTAGATATTATTTATAGGGTTGGCCTAATTATGAGTAAACAGTTTGAGCTGTAACGGTTGGCGTGGTGTGTTCATAGACTCACACGTATTCCTACTCAACCTTTTCTTTATGGGTTTCATAAAAATTATAATTGTATAGTAAAAAAGCTAAGGGTAATTGTCCTTCTGCTGCTGTCTTCATGTGACTTTTAATTTTTGTAATAGAAATAAAATAGTATACGTGGAGACTGTTAGCAAAATAAAGCGACCCTCCATGCAACCCAGCCATCCAAATGGAACGTTTGGATAGAAGAAGTAATAATTAAATGAAATTGGCAGATGCATGCCATTGAGAATTAATGAAAAGCAAAATAGTGTGAGGATCGGAAGAGATTAATAATATATTAAGGGATTTCTTGTTTTTTAAGTGAGAGAATCAAAACTCAATAATTACAGGTTTTGGATCATTTAAATATTTGTTGTGTGCAGGGTGGTGCAAGATATATGGTACGGTGTGGCAAAGCCGCAGCCTTACACATGGCTAGCAGATGTACACTGAATCTGCTTATTTCGCCTCGAGGTTTGCCACGTTTCTACCTTAGCTTCTCGAGTTTCATTCAATTATGAGTCTCTCATAATATCAATCTTCAATTAGATTTGCTGTTTCTGCTACAACTAACCAATATATATATATATATATATATATATATATATATATATATATATAGTTGCACTCGGGTACGAACGGCTCGTCCAGGCGCGAAATAGGAATGGATTCTGTTCGTCCACGTGTCCAGATCTAATGGATGAGAAACACTGATTTTTTAAAAAACGCGGTGACATTTTTGTAAATAATTGAACATCGAAGTGCAAGTAAAACGTATTACAAGTGCATGTAAAATGTATTATAGGTGCAAGTAAACACTGAGCATCAATACTTAGTTGCACTTATAGTTCTAAGTAGTTGCACCTATAGTTCTAAGTAGTTGCATACATAGGTATAAGTAGTTGCATCTAGGTGTATGAATGTTTGCGAGTGGTTTTCAGGAGTATTACTACCCGCTGAACTCAGATCAATGAATGTTAACAAGACAAAATTACATGCACTTATAGGTGAAAGTAGGTGCACATATAGTTATAAGTAGTTGCACCTATAGTTATAAATAGTTGCACATATAGTTATAAGCACACCCAGGTGCATGAATGGTTGCGGAAAGTGAATGCTAACAAGGCAAAATTACATGCACTTATAGGTGAAAATAGGTGCACTTATAAGAGATTTTACTTGTACTTCGATGTTCAATTATTTACGAAAATGCCACCGCGTTTTTTTTTAAGTTATTAGATCTGGACACGTGTCACGCGCTGATTCGTTCACATTTCCTTCCTGGGCACTTATTCGCACCTAAGTGCGTCCATATATATATATATAGACTTGCACTCGGGTGCGAACGGCTCGCCCAGGCACGAAATATGAATTAATTACAACCGTTGATCGGCGTTTATCCAACGAGCATCATTCATATTAACTTTCTCGCGTTTTGCCGTTTGTAAGGACATTCTTGTCTTTTTAGGCGTTTGTTTCCAAACTTGTATTCTATCCTTGTTTATTAGTCGTCGTCTTCATTATTCGAAATCAAAAGCTCGATCTGGTGATCGCAAAGGCGTTGCAATTCTTCTTCTGCGGAGGCATTCATCATCTGTGTATCATACGATCGCAATGGAGCCAGGTATTGGTCTGCTTATATTGACCGCTTAAGATGAATTGCTGGTATCTTGGTTACTGGTTTTAGTTGAATTTGTAATTCAGTCATCGTGTTTCCGTAGGTAACTGCATTAAAGGTTTAATTTACATTTAGCTAATTCTAGAAATATTGCACACATAATTGTCAGTCCATCTGTAATGGATGCAATTTTTTTGTTACTTAGTTGCATCGTATATATTATTTTACTTGCACACTATGGGTTATGTACTTGCAATACTGGTATATTTATATTCATTGTCTAAGATGAATTATTGTTATCTGGCTCACATGTTTAGTTGAATTTGTAAATCATTCATCGTGTTTATGTAGGTATTTGCATTGAAGTTTGAATTTGCATGTATATAATGCTAGAATAATTGCACACACAGTTGTTGTTCCATCCGCATTCCAGGCTTTTTTTTTGTTATTTTATTGCGTTGTATTTATTATTTACTTGCACACTACGGTTTATGTACTTGCAATAATGTTTAATTATATATAGTTTATGGTAGATTACCAGTAGTTATACATTTGTCCACACAGGTGAAGTGGATTCGTATCGTTTGGATACTTCTCCTGGTTTGACAAAATATTATGTCCCTTTGTGTGAAGATTCAGTTAAACCGTCTGTTGGGAAGGTTTTTCCTGATTTGGATACTGGGGTTGCATTTTATACTAAATATGCATCGATTGTTAGGTTTGATGTTCGACTAAGTCACTTGTCAAAATGTGCTGATGGGACCATTGTTTGGAGGTATGTTCTTTGTAATCGAGAGGGCCATAAGCATGCTGTTTGTAGGGATAAATCGTCAGTAGCAGAATTGGATGGTGATGTGGAGTCTTCGGTTAAAAAGAGGAGGAGATTTTCAAATAGGGTTGGGTGTGGGGCTTGTGCTATTTTTAGATATGGAGGTGATGGCACTTATGTTATTCACAGGTTTGAAGAGCGTCATAACCATTCATTGACATCAGTAATGTCAAGACAGTTTCGGAAGATGAATAGAAAGGTTGGACCTGGTCATATGAGGTTCGTTGCTGATTGTGGAATAGTGAACATTGGGCCAGTGCAGAGTTTTCGGTTGTTTGGTGAGATGTTTGGTGGGTTGGCAAATGTTGGTGCAACAAGTTTGGAATTTCAGAATATTAAAAGGGATGTGGACGCATTTTCTGCTGGGGTTGATGCTCAGATGATTGTGACTAATTTCTTTAAAAAAAAAAAGAAGTATGTCCAGCTTTTTTTTTTTTTTTTTTTTTTTTTTTTTTTTTGCATTTGATGTTGATGAGTATGACCACTTATCCAGATTTTTTTGGGCTGATGCGGTTTCTAGGAAGAATTTTAAACTTTTGGTGACGTTGTGTCATTTGATGCTACATATCAGACAAACAGGTTAGATTTGGTAGTGTAGGGCATAAGTTTTATATTCTGTTGTGTTATTGGTCATATTTTTGGTCATAATGCAAGTATATATATTTATAGGTGCAACTAGTCTACACTAAATGCGCATGTACTCTCTGACAAACTTTATATTTTTTTTTTCCAGGTATGATATGGTGTTTACACCATTTACTGGTGTTAATAACCATAAAAAGTCTATTACTTTTGGGGCTGGGTTGTTGAAAAAAGAGGATATTGAGTCATATGTGTGGTTGTTTGAGAAATTTAAGGAAGCGATGGGTAGTGAGCCAGTATTGGTTGTTACTGATCAAGATCCAGCAATGAGGGTTGCATTTCCACGTGTGTTCAAGGAAGCTAAGCATAGGTTTTTCATGTGGCACATTATGTCTAAGGTAGGAGATAAGGTTGGCCCTTCATTGAGTAAAAATGAGACTTTTAGATCAAAGTTGAATTCTGTTGTATGGAGTCATTATTTGGAACCAGCTGAATTTGATTAACAATGGAATGTTGTCATGGAGGAGTTTGGGTTGTTGGAGCATAGTTGGTTTGTCAAGATGTATGATCTTCGTCATCTTTGGATTCCTGCATACTTTAGTGATGTTAGTATGAATGGTTTAATTACGACTACTTCCCGGTCGGAGAGTGAGAATAGTTTGTTTGGTTCTTTTACTACTCCCCAGTCCAACCTGGTTGAATTTTTTATGCATTTTGATCGTGCGATTGATAGTCAACGTTATTCTATTAATAAACTCAACAGTGACTCGGAGGCATGCTTTCCAGATTTGAATACACCACTGTCTATGGAGAAACATGCTGCATATGTGTATACTCTTACAGTTTTTTATTTGGTGCATGCTGAGATTTGTGCAACATGTTTTAGCTGTCGAGTTCTAAATGTTCGGGATGACCAAGGGGTCTTGTATTATGATATTAAAGACGAAAATGACCGAGTGTTTAGGGTGGTGCATAATGTTGCTGAAGTAAAAGCTTCATGTGGATGTAAACTGTTTGAAAGGGTAGGGTTGCTTTGTAGGCATATTTTTGTAGTTTTCAAAGATTTGAACTTGGATTCAATTCCATTGGTCTATGTAGTTAACCGGTGGACCAAGAGTGCATCATTGGGTCAAACTTTTGATATTGATGGTGTTGTTGTTGATCAATGTAGAGGTGTTGATGAGAAGTTGGTGATATTGAAAAATGTGTGGTTAGATATTCAATGCTGTGTTAGTATGGTTCAGTCTGATATTGATCGTTTGAAAGTGTTTTCCCAGATCATTAAGGACCACAAGGATATGCTTTTGGCTGATAAGGGTGGCTGTTCTTCTGCTGTTGATAAGAGGTCACTCATCGAGTCAATATGTGGTTCTTCAGTCTCTTCCGAAGTTTCCATTCTTCCACCAAACAAAGCAAAGAACAAGGGTAGTGGTAGGCGCATTAAAGGTTGCAAGGAGATTGCCATTGAACAATGTAAGAAGTAGAGGACTTGCAAGACTTGCAACAAACCTAATCATGATAGTAGGAATTGTGTGTTGAGGAAAACGAAGGATAAGGTGTGCAGTTTATAGATACTCTAGATACAATTGTATTTACATTTTTTGTTGTCAAAATATGACTACGAGGGATTCTTTATAATGTTGGTTTAGTAGTTATGGAAGTAGTTCTTAGCTTAGATGGAATAATCCAGTGCTGATATCTCGTGTTAGGATGTTGTGTATTGTTGTTGCAGTAATATAGAAGATTACATGCAGTTTTATTGCAGATTACATCACTATTTGTTGCATGATTACTTGTGAAGATTACATGAAAGTTGATTACAAGTATAATTGTTATAATATAAACTATTAAATGCATTTAATAAGAAAAACAGTTGCAGAATTTATTTGTGCACTTTCATATAAAAATATGATTATTAATAGTGTAGTATATTGTATGCAATTAAAAGCATATTTAATTGCACTTGTAGGAAAAATTAACTGCTTTAACAAGTAAGATGTGTTGTACATGTGGCTTAGTAGAGAAATGGAAGTAGTTTTAGCATATATGGAAAATATAGCAGATCTAATTGCGTTAATATAAACAATTAGATGCATTTATACCAAAAAGTGATTGCATTGATCTGACAGTAAATGTTAGGTGCACCAGTATATCAACTATATGCGCTTACAAGTATAACTGGGTGCATTCCTTCCACAACTAGGTTACTAGATATGCCTTATAGTAGAGTACAAGCACTTATGCTACTAGTACTTGCACACAAGTATGACTTCATATAGTCAACATTCCAAAAGTAGTTGCTAAATTCAAAGGCAACTCAAAAATTGGTTTGTTTAAAGATTTAGTTGCCTGCACCAAAAACACATTCACAGACGTTCACAAAGAAAAAAAAAAAAACAATTAGGTGTCCGCCACTTCTTTGACTTTGAGGCCTTTTGAAAATTTCTGGCAAGTTTCATGCATTCCTCTCGCTGTTCATTGACTGGGCCGTTCACGATCTCTGCAAGGTACTTCACCCGCAGGTTGTTTAGCTGTTCTCGATTTCCTTTTTCAATCCCACAGTCCCAACCCCTCACACCTTTCCCCATATATGTCTCCATGTGTCGCATAGCGAACACACCACAGTCAACTTTGTTCTCATCATCTCTCCAGCTCATTTCAAGTCTTGATAGTGTTAGTCCACGTACAAGTTTGCTTTTTGCATCATCATTTTTGGATTGGAAGTACTCTGCCAGCATATTTGTCTGTATTACTTGTAATTGTTAGTATACAAACTATCAATGTTAAAAGCATTAAATTTTATGAAATTGGTTGAGTAACATTACCAGTGGTTGTGGGATATCTGCATACTTTGGGCCTTCAACTGATGAATTGTCCAAGATGTCAAATCTTTTATTTTTGAAATTTATGCTGAGGACATAGTAGTGCTCAGCATGTACAATGGGGAACATAAACTGTTTGAAAGCATAGAATTAGTAGTTTAGTTGCACAAATAGATATAGTTTATTGCAATATTGATATAAGTTATTTGTACCATTGCGTATATAGTGTGTAGCTTACCAACTCAATATTTTCAAGGCTTAATCCTTCTGTCACTCCAATTTCACCATCCAATCTCTCTGAAAATCTTCTAAACCTCAATGCATGGTCACCGTAGGGGGCTACAATCGTGAAAAGCTGCAATAAATGTAGATGTTAGGGTGCATTTTACAAATTTTTTTTATATGTAAGGTTATTATAGTTGTTGTAAAACTTACGCATACGAATGTTGTTGCAAAAAATCTGCAAGGTGAGGTATTGCTACGGGCCCTTTCTTTATAGTTTAGAATTGTAGACCAGGCATCTACGACTCCAACCTTAATCTCCGTATTAATGACAATAGATAACATGTCATCCCATATGAATGTCTTTTCACCATATTTGAAAATCTCTTTTGTCCTGTTTGTAAAAAATAATAATAATAATAATAATAATAACAATAATAATAATAATAATAATAATAATAATAATAATAATAATAATCAACAAAGACAGTAGAGACTTTAATATATTGATGGACCAACACTGTTAGTTATATAGTCTTACGGTTCAACATTGGTATTCTGTAGAACCCATTTGGCAATCATTTTTTCATTGTTATTCCATGCTCGGTGAACATCAACTGTTCTTGTCAAGTACGGGGACTTCAATGGATTGGTGATTTTCACTTGCCGCTTCTCAGCCCTTGGTTGCAGTGCCTGAGGTTGTTTTGGTACATTCTTATCAACTGCCATTGCTGGCTCTTCCGGTTGTGGTTGTGGTTGTTCAGGCAGAATCTATAATGATACAGTGCAACTACTTTGATCACAAAGTGCAAGTAGTATATTGTAATAATTCAAGTAAGTTTTTAAAGTTTCATTACCTCATCAACAGTCATCTGTGTTTGCTCTTCTATTTGTTCCTGTCTTGTATCTTGGTCTGGTGTTGCCTCATCAGGTGAAGGGTTAAGAGGTGTTTTAAAGCTTTAATCTGCTGCAGTCCTTGTGACATTTCGAATTGCATTTTCAATCTCTTCTTGAGTCAGCCCCAAGCTGAAACTTGGTCCCTCTGCTACCTTGTTCCTGTACTGCTCTCTTCTGGTGATTGCATCATCAATTGCATCAAATGCAGCAATGAACTTTGGGTTGTTCCAGAACTCTTCATTTTGTTGGGTCAATGTAACATCAGGGTTTGGAATTCCAAGCAGTTTCTGTGCAGATTCCACCATTTGCTTGAAGTTCTCATCTTCATCTGTATGCTCAGGTGCCTCTTGCGCCATTTCCATTACTTCAAGCATTGGTTTTGCTAGAAGTTTTATCTTTTTGGCAAACCTGTGCATATAACTCTTTTTTTTTTTTTTTTTTTTGCAGTTAGTAAAAGCATGTGTTAATACTCTGAGTGCACAAATTCTAAGGTGTACATGCATATACAAAATAAATTAATTGCACACAATGTATTATTAACATTTTAATATTGTTCAAACATTATATTGATGTGGTATGTATGATTTATGCACACAAGAAGTATTAACCATGTATAGGGATGTATTTAATCAACTAGTTAACCGTTTATTACTTTTTCTTTTGTTACAAAATTCTATGTGCACTAATACATATAACTTCATGCACATATAATTTAATATAGTTGCATAACATAAGATTATTGATATTTACCTGCTGGTCTTGATCCTCATCTTGGGATTTGTTTGTTTCTGTCAGTTGCAGGACTTCTTCCTGTGCCTCATCAATGTAGCCGTAGCCGAAGCCACCCGAACTAATCTCAGCCTTTTCCCTCTGGTTCAGTAGACGCGTGTCCCATCCTTTGAATGCTAGGACACGCGTCTATTGAACCAGAGGGAAAAGGCTGAGATTAGTTCGGGTGGCTTCGACTACGGCTACATTGATGAGGCACAGGAAGAAGTCCTGCAACTGACAGACAGAAACGAATCCCAAGATGATGATCAAGACCAGCAGGTAAATAGCAATAATGTTATGTTATGCAACTAGATTAAATTATATGTGCATGAAGTTATATGTATTAGTGCACATAGAATTTTGAAACCAACAAAAAATAATAAACGATTAACTAGTTGATTAAATACATCTCTATACATGGTTAATACTTCTTGTGTGCATAAATCACACATACACATCAATATAATGTTTGAACAATGTTAAAATGTTAATAATACATTGTGTGCAATTAATTTATTTTGTATATGCATGTACACCCTAGAATTTGTGCACTCAGAGTATTAACACATGCTTTTACTAACTGAAAAAAAAAAAAGAAAAAAAGAAAAAAAAAGGAGAGTTATATGCACAGGTTTGCCAAAAAGATAAAACTTCTAGCAAAAACAATGCTTGAAGTAATGGAAATGGCGCAAGAGGCACCAGAGCATACGGATGAAGATGAGAACTTCAAACAAATGGTGGAGTCTGCACAGAAACTGCTTGGAATTCCAAATCCTGATGTTACATTGACCCAACAAAATGAAGAGTTCTGGAACAACCCAGAGTTCATTGCTGCATTTGATGCAATTGATGATGCAATCACCAGAAGAGAGCAGTACAGGAACAAAGTGGTAGAGGGACCAAGTTTCAGCTTGGGGCTGACTCAAGAAGAAATTGAAAATGCAATTCGAAATGTCTCAAGGACTGCAGCAGATTCAAGCTTTAAAACACCTCTTAACCCTTCACCTGATGAGGCAACACCAGACCAAGATACAAGACAAGAACAAACAGAAGAGCAAACACAGATGAATGTTGATGAGGTAATGAAACTTTAAAAACTTACTTGCATTATTACAATATACTACTTGCACTTTATGATCAAAGTAGTTGCACTGTATCATTATAGATTCTGCCTGAACAACCACAACCACAACAGGAAGAGCCAGCAGTGGCAGTTGATAAGAATGTATCAAAACAACCTTAGGGACTGCAACCAAGGGTTGAGAAGCGACAAGTGAAAATCACCAATCCATTGAAGTCCCCGTACTTGACAAGAACAGTTGATGTTCACCGAGCATGGAATAACAATGAAAAAATGATTGCCAAATGGGTTCTACAGAATCCCAATGTTGAACCGTAAGACTATATAACTAACAGTTTTGGTCCATCAATATGTTAAAGTCTCTACTGTCTTTGTTGATTATTATTATTATTATTATTATTATTATTATTATTATTATTATTATTATTATTATTATTTTTTACAAACAGGACAAAAGAGATTTTCAAATATGGTGAAAAGACATTCATATGGGATGACATGTTATCTATTGTCATTAATACGGAGATTAAGGTTGGAGTCGTAGATGCCTGGTCTACAATTCTAAACTATAAAGAAAGGGCCCGTAGCAATACCTCACCTTGCAGATTTTTTGCAACAACATTCGTATGCGTAAATTTTACAACAACTATAACAACCTTACATATAAAAAAAATTGTAAAATGCACCCTAACATCTACATTTATTGCAGCTTTTCACGATTGTAGCCCCCTACAGTGACCATGCATTGAGGTTTAGAAGATTTTCAGAGAGATTGGATGGTGAAATTGGAGTGACAGAAGGATTAAGCCTTGAAAATATTGAGTTGGTAAGCTACACACTATATACGCAATGGTGCAACTAACTTATACCAATATTGCATTAAACTATATCTATTTGTGCAACTAAACTACTAATTCTATGCTTTCAAACAGTTTATGTTCCCCATTGTACATGTTGAGCACTACTATGTCCTCAGCATAAATTTCAAAAATAAAAGATTTGACATCTTGGACAATTCATCAGTTGAAGGCCCAAAGTATGGAGATATCCCAAAATCACTGGTAATGTTACTCAACAAATTTCATAAATTTTAATGCTTTTAATATTAATAGTTTGTATACTAACAATTACATGTAATACATACAAATATGCTGGCAGAGTACTTCCAATCCAAAAATGATGATGCAAAAAGCAAACTTGTACGGGGACTAAAACCATCAAGACTTGAAATGAGCTGGAGAGATGATGAGAACAAAGTTGACTGTGGTGTGTTTGCTATGCGACACATGGAGACATATATGGGGAAAGGTGTGAGGGGTTGGGACTGTGGGATTGAAAAAGGAAATCGAGAACAGCTAAACAACCTGCGGGTGAAGTACCTTGCAGAGATCGTGAACGACCCAATCAATGAACAGCGAGAGGAATGCATGAAGCTTGCCAGAGATTTCCAAAAGGCCTCAAAGTCAAAGAAGTGACGGACACCTAATTGTTTTTTTTTTTTTTTTTTTTTTTTGTGAATGTGTTTTAGTGCAGGCAACTAAATCTTTAAACAAACCAATTTTTGAGTTGCCTTTGAATTTAGTAACTACTTTTGGAATGTTGACTATATGAAGTCATACTTGTGTGCAAGTACTAGTAGCATAAGTGTTTGTACTCTACTGTAAGGCAGATCTAGTAACCTAGTTGTAGAAGGAATGCACCCAGTTATACTTGTAAGCGCATATAGTTGATATACTGGTGCACCTAACATTTACTGTCAGATCAATGCAATCACTTTTTGGTATAAATGCATCTAATTGTTTATATTAACGCAATTAGATCTGCTATATTTTCCATATATGCTAAAACTACTTCCATTTCTCTACTAAGCCACATGTACAACACATCTTACTTGTTAAAGCAGTTAATTTTTCCTACAAGTGCAATTAAATATGCTTTTAATTGCATACAATATACTACACTATTAATAATCATATTTTTATATGAAAGTGCACAAATAAATTCTGCAACTGTTTTTCTTATTAAATGCATTTAATAGTTTATATTATAACAATTATACTTGTAATCAACTTTCATTTAATCTTCACAAGTAATCATGCAACAAATAGTGATGTAATCTGCAATAAAACTGCATGTAATCTTCTATATTACTGCAACAACAATACACAACATCCTAACACGAGATATCAGCACTGGATTATTCCATCTAAGCTAAGAACTACTTCCATAACTACTAAACCAACATTATAAAGAACCCCTCATAGTCATATTTTGACCAAAAAAAAAATGTAAATACAATTGTATCTAGAGTATCTATAAACTGCACACCTTATCCTTCGTTTTCCTCAACCCACAATTCCTACTATCATGATTAGGTTTGTTGCAAGTCTTGCAAGTCCTCTACTTCTTACTTTGTTCAATGGCAATCTCCTTGCAACCTTTAATGCGTCTACCACTACCCTTGTTCTTTGCTTTGTTTGGTGGAAGAATGGAAACTTCAGAAGGGACTGAAGAACCACATATTGACTCGATGACTGACCTCTTATCAACAGCAGAATAACAGTCACCCTTATCATCCAAAAGCATATCCTTGTGGCCCTTAATGATCTGGGAAAACACTTTCAAACGATCAATGTCAGACTGAACCATACTAACACAGCATTGAATATTTAACCACACATTTTTCAATATCACCAACTTCTCATCAACACCTCCACATTGATCAACAACAACACCATCAATATCAAAAGTTTGACCCAATGATGCACTCTTGGTCCACCGGTTAACTACATAGACCAATGGAATTGAATCCAAGTTCAAATCTTTGAAAACTACAAAAATATGCCTACAAAGCAACCCTACCCTTTCAAACATTTTACATCCACATGAAGCTTTGACTTCAGCAACATTATGCACCACCCTAAACACTCTGTCATTTTCGTCTTTAATATCATAATACAAAACCCCTTGGTCATCCCGAACATTTAGAACTCGACAGCTAAAACATGCTGCACAAATCTCAGCTTGCACCAAATAAACCACTGTAAGAGTATACACATATGCAGCATGTTTCTCCATAGACAATGGTGTCTTCAAATCTAGAAAACATGCCTCCGAGTCACTGTTGAGTTTATTAATAGAATAGCGTTGACTATCAATCGCACGATCAAAATGCATAAAAAATTCAACCAAGTTGGACTGAGGAGTAGTAAAAGAACCAAACAAACTATTCTCACTCTCCGACCGGGAAGTAGTCCTAATTAAACCATTCATACTAACATCACTAAAATATGCAGGAATCCAAAGATGACGAAGATCATACATCTTGACAAACCAACTATGCTCCAACAACCCAAACTCCTCCATGACAACATTCCATTGATAATCAAATTCAGCTGGTTCCAAATAATGACTCCATACAACAGAATTCAACTTTGACCTAAAAGTCTCATTTTTACTCAATGAAGGGCCAACTTTATCTCCTACCTTAGACATAATGTGCCACATGCAAAACCTATGCTTAGCTTCCTTGAACACACGTGGAAATGCAACCCTCATTGCTGGATCTTGATCAGTAACAACCAATACTGGCTCACTACCCATCGCTTCCTTGAATTTCTCAAACAACCACACATATGACTCAATATCCTCTTTTGTCAACAACCCAGCCCCAAAAGTAATAGACTTTTTATGATTATTAACACCAGTAAATGGTGTAAACACCATATCATACCTGGAAAAACAATGTAAAGTTTGTCAGAGAGTACATGCGCATTTAGTGTAAACTAGTTGCACCTATAAACATATATACTTGCACTATGACAACAAATATGACCAATAACACAACAGAATATAAAACTTATGCCCTACACTACCAAAACTAACCTGTTTGTCTGATATGTAGCATTAAATGACACAACGTCACCAAAAAGGGCCAAATTCTTCCTAGAAACCGCATCAGCCCAAAAATATCTGGATAAGTGGTCATACTCATCAACATCAAATGCAAAAAACAGAGCTGGGCATACTTCTTTTTTTTAAAGAAATTAGTCACAATCATCTAAGCATCAACCCCAGCAGAAAATGAGTCCACATCCCTTTTAATATTCTGAAATTCCAAACTTGTTGCACCAACATTTGCCAACCCACCAAACATCTCACCAAACAACCGAAAACTCTGCACTGGCCCAATGTTCACTTTTCCACAATCAGCAACGAACTTCATATGACCAGGTCCAACCTTTCTATTCATCTTCAGAAACCGTCTTGACATTACTGATGTCAATGAATGGTTATGACGCTCTTCAAACCTGTGAATAACATATGTGTCATCACCTCCATATCTAAAAATAGCACATGTCCCACACCCAACCCTATTTGAAAATCTCCTCCTCTTTTTAACGAAGACTCCGCATCACCATCCAATTCTGCTACTGACGATTTATCCCTACAAACAACGTGCTTATGACCCTCTCGATTACAAAGAAACATACCTCCAAACAATGGTCCCATCATCAGATTTTGACAAGTGACTTAGTCGAACATCAAACCCAACAATCGATGCATATTTAGTATAAAATGCAACCCCAGTATCCAAATCAGGAAAAACCTTCCCAACGGACGGTTTAACTGAATCTTCACACAAAGGGACGTAATATTTTGTCAAACCAGGAGAAGTATCCAAACGATACGAATCCACTTCACCTGTGTGGACAAATGTACAACTACTGGTAATCTACCATAAACTATATATAAATAAAAATTATTGCAAGTACATAAACCGTAGTGTGCAAGTAAATAATAAATACAACGCAATAAAATAACCAAAAAAAATGCCTGGAATGCGGATGGAACAACAACTGTGTGTGCAATTATTCTAGCATTATCTAAATGCAAATTCAAACTTCAATGCAAATACCTATAGAAACACGATGGATGAATTACAAATTCAACTAAACGTGTGAGCCAGATAACAATAATTCATCTTAGACAATGATTATAAATATCAGTATTGCAAGTACATAACCCATAGTGTGCAAGTAAAATAATATATTCGATGCAATTAAGTAACAAACAAATTGCATGCGTTACAGATGGAACGACAATTATGTGTGCAATATTTCTAGACTTAGTTAAATGTAAATTAAACCTTCAATGCAGTTACCTACAGAAACACGATGACTGAATTACAAATTCAACTAAAACGAGTAACCAAGATACCACCAATTCATCTTAAGCGATCAATATAAACAGACCAATACCTGGCTCCATTGCGATCGTATGATAAACAGATGATGAATGCCTCCGCAGAAGAAGAACTGCAACGCCTATGCGATCACCAGATCGAGCTGTTGATTTCGAATAATGAAGACGACGACTAATAAACAAGGATATAATACAAATTTGGAAACAAACGCCTATAAAAACAAGAATGTCCTTACAAACGGCAAAACGCGAGAAAGTTAATACGAATGATGCTCGTTGGGCGAGCCATTCGCACCAGAGTGCAAGTCTATATATATATATATATATATATATATATATATATATATATATATATATATATATATATATATATATATATATATATAGGGACGCACTCAGGTGCGAATAAGTGCCCAGGAAGGAAATGCGAACGAATCAGCGCGTGACACGTGTCCAGATCTAATAACTTAAAAAAAAACGCGGTGGCATTTTCGTAAATAATTGAACATCGAATGTGCACCTATTTTCACCTATAAGTGCATGTAATTTTGCCTTGTTAGCATTCACTTTCCGCAACCATTCATGCACCTGGGTGTGCTTATAACTATATGTGCAACTATTTATAACTATAGGTGCAACTACTTATAACTATATGTGCACCTACTTTCACCTATAAGTGCATGTAATTTTGTCTTGTTAACATTCATTGATCTGAGTTCAGCGGGTAGTAATACTCCTGAAAACCACTCGCAAACATTAATACACCTAGATGCAACTACTTATACCTATGTGTGCAACTACTTAGAACTATAGGTGCAACTACTTAGAACTATAAGTGCAACTAAGTATTGATGCTCAGTGTAAATTTTTACTTGCACCTATAATACATTTTACATGCACTTGTAATACATTTTACTTGCACTTCGATGTTCAATTATTTACGAAAATGCCACCGCGTTTTTTTAAAAAAATCAGTGTTTCTCATCCATTAGATCTGGACACGTGGACGAACAGAATCCATTCCTATTTCGCGCCTAGGCAAGCCATTCGCACCCGAGTGCAACTCTATATATATATATATATATATAATCAGGTGAGAACCAACATTAACTTGCGAATTGCAAACTTGTAAAGAATTGCAGCGCACTCACTACAGAATTGTAGTTTCGGAATGTTTCAGTTTCGGTTTGAACCGCTCATTCAAAATTTATTTTTGTAAATTCTATTTCTTATTTTTAAAATAGTCAAAATTCAACAATTATTTTATTTTATTTTATTTTATCTTTTTCCGGTTCTGAATCGTAATCAGAACCGTCCCTATTGTTTCGATTCAATTGCTACAATGTCCAGTTAGGTTCGAACCAAACCAAGGTCATCCATACATACAAACAATAATTTGTTGGGGAAGAAAAATAAATGAAATACTTATTTTAAAAGTAAAATTGTTCATCTAACATAAAAGGAGAAAAAATCACCACTATTAATATAACTGAGGGGACAAATATGAATACATGAATAACTCAGGAAAAAAAAATACTATAAGCATATAACTCGGAAAAAAAAGTGTCATTTTCACTTAATATCATTTTAATTAACATACAATATTGTTATAATAAGCATTGTATTACAATAATGAATCATAGTCAATAATACTTTATAATAAACTTACAATATTATAATAATCAACCATAGTGCATGAATCCATGATATAATTTGCACCCCTCTAAAATAAAAATAAAAATAAAAAATAAAAAATAAAAATAAAAAATAAAATAAAATTGTTGGTTGCTTAATATGGGAACATTGGCATTTGGCTAGAATCACTAAAAGTGACGGATGTTTAAAATTGTGCATGTGCACTAAATATAACCAAAAAAAAACGCTATTGTTCTCATGGACCATAAGTAGAATGAAAAAAATAATAAAAAAAAAAATCAATTTTGTATTATTGACACAACCCCACTTGAAATCCTTCTAAACGCTTTGTTGAGCTCAAAGGGAAGACAATGAAATGTAACTTCTAGTTTCCTACCTAAATTTTATACTAAAAAAATACTCCGTAGCAATATCATCCGAATACAACATAAATATTTCAGTATTTCACCCCAGAATCGGGTAAAAGGCATTACAAAAAACGTATGCTACAAAACTGAAAATCTATGGAGAGGCATTATTGTTGTTTTCTAAGGTTTTAAGCAGCCTGAATAGCCCAGCTGCTTCCCTAATCCTTGAGAACTCAATGCAAAATGCTTGGACTTCAATAAACAGATCTTGAACTGCAAAACAAATTAAATATCAAGATATGTGAACCAATGATCCATCGTTTAATAGACATGTAAAAAAATATTTAAAAAAAAAAAAAACAAACAACAGTTGCTTTCAGTATCACATAGCTTCAAACAACACTAAAATCCAGCACTGAAGCCCAAAACAGCAATATGGAAACCAAAAGACAGAACTACCACCTGCATATTCTTTGACCAGGTTGAGGCTTGTCTAGTAAGGTAGTCCTAGATCATAGCATTAGGTATATTGGTTACTATTTCAACAATACCACAGATATTAAAGTAGTCCTAACATTGATGAGGACTAGCACTTTTTGGTCTTTCAAGCATATGCTCAGTGAGACTGGGTTCTTGAATTGGCTAGTTTGATGCCAATCCACCTTGATTCTAGTACTAAATCACTAAACTGTTAATTACGTGAACTTCCCAGCCTGGGACGCACTTCGGTGGGTTAGTTTGGCCAACATGTTGGGGCTGTTCTCAACTCTTGAGAAACACTTAAGAATAAAATAAACTACACTTAAGAATTGGTTTACTGGAAGTGAGTTCCACATAGAAAAAGTACTTACCATCAATTATCTTATTCCGGATCAAGCTCTGAAGGAAGACACAGACAAGCCTTACAAGTCTATTCTGCATGTACCTATCCTGAAAATTGGGGGGAAAAAAAGCAAGAAAAAGGTGGGAGAGAGAGAGAGAAATGGAAACTGAATCAGCTGGAGATTCTTTCCAGTTCAAAGAGCATATAAGTTGGCAGGATAAAATTTTGATTATATTAACTGAAAAGCGAAAGAAAATTAACCAAGATAATACACTTCAATTTATAGAAAATGAGTGATACACCATACACCCTGCTTGTAAACCCCCAAAAAAAACAATGCATGCTTCAAATTTATCAAGTAAACACTGGTTGAAAAATCCAGATAAAGAAAACCACCCATTTGAATTGGCTTCACTTGCAACAAGTCCTCGCATCAATTATATAGAATGAATCATCATAGTAACATCTTAGCATAAACCACAATAAAAGAAAAATTAAAAAACAAGATACTGAAGAAGAAAGCACAATAGGGTAGGTGACCTTGATGTTCTCACAGGATGATATACAATTGGTGATATACATATGTATGAATTCAGTTGGTAGTTCAACTGCTTGTGTGAGTCTGTTAACTACTTCCATTGAATGCAGACTCATTTCCATATTAACAAGAACTGTAAAGTAGCTGCAACCACAAATGGAATTCATGACATCGGAATGTGCATCAAATAAATTCCGAAATACATAAAAGTTAGACTACAAAGTATGTAATTAATTGAGTACACAAAACATTAAAGGAATTCAAATAGGATTCTTTTGGGTGCATGCTAAATCAAGTAGGATAACTAATCAAAACAAAGGGAAAATGGCATACTCAGCAATCTCAGGGGAATTCACCAACTTTACAAGAGCTTCCACTGCAATAACAGGATTGTTCTCAACAAGCTCCTGAAAAGCAGGTCACATGATCTTTGAATCTCACTCATTCCAAACTCTAGGTTTCTAGAATACTTACTGGCAGCTTTCTTGGTGTCAGTCCACAATGATAAACACGTTTTGGGTCATTTGCCAACTCGAACAAAACTTTCTGCATATAAAAGTTCAGGCAACATATCATAGGATGCTAAAGAGATAAAACAATGAGCTAGAATAGATTAGAAAAGAATGCACCACTAACCACTTGAAAACAGTGTCTACAATAAATGAATAGGACAATGTGAATGCTGAAAATTGAACCTTGTAAAATAAGACAAATAGAAAGCAACCTAAAAGACTGTAAATGGCCATTATACTGTTGAAGAATGTGAGGAAAAGGGAGGAGCATTAAACCTCTTGTTGAGTAGGAGCAAGAGGACCCTTCAGAGCTTTTGCAATCAATTCCCTGACTGCTACTCCTCTGCTAGTATCAGCACACATTCCATGATCCCACAAAAGGTCATAACTATTATCAGGGTTTAACCACACTAGCTGCAAAACATAAATGTCATATTAACTCAGAAATTTTATTTCACTAGATATTTATTCAGAAATTTATCACTTCACTTAAAGGAATCTGATAATCAGGGTGCACTTACCTCGCCATCCAGTACTGGAAGCATAGGAGGGCATGGCCTTATCCATTGAGGTTGTAAACCTTCCAGAGACAGATTTGATAATAGTCCAGTTATTGTTTCATCAACATCCCCAGATCCAATCTTAGGTTTATATCCAGGTTGCAAATCATACCTGAAATTGATTAATGGTATGTAGATGAAAACAATGAACTGATGGGAACATACCTGTTTTTGAATTCAAGTATCAAGGCGCAGGAGAGAAAAAGATCAATACAAGGGAAGGGGCTCTACTATGTCAATTACAAACTTATCACCTCCCCATTTTGCTCCTATATTTGCTTTATAGGTAACAGAAACAAACTGGATTTTACAAACTCACTATATATATGTATATATAATTTTACAAAATTATTTAAAAAAAAAAAAAAAAAAAAAAAAAAAAAAAAGAACAGTCATACTCTGCTGAATTGATATCACATCCACGAGGCACATCAGGGTCTGAAATGACATTGTTGACTGAGTTGCTCTTGAACAAGCAGTTAAATGGTTCTGGTAAAGCTTTAACACCAAACTGTTGTTGCAACTGTTCACTTTGTGGAAAAGGCTAGCATTTTAACAATGGATCAGATAAGATGAGTGATAGTGCTTATTGATATAATTTTATTGTTTTTACTGATTATAAGTGCAACTGGAGTCAGAAACTTTTGGAGAGCTCATACAAATATTTAGGCAATGTCAATACTCACATATTGAGAAGGATCAGAACTTTTCATGTAATCTGAAGCAGACTGCTTTAAAACCTGCAGGTATGAGAAACTTCTCTCTGATACTGTTTGAATATGATCAGGAATTATGTACATAGCATGGAATATGGCAGTACAAACAAGAATGAATATATTCACTTGACTCAAACAATAACCAGATTTATCATCATTAAGGATAACTTAAGTATCACCAGTTTCATTTAGATGCTTGGTTACATCCAATGGCAACATTTACATTCAGCTTCATCCACATCCGCATTTAATCAAGTACTTGTGTAAAAATTTTGAACAAGTACTGAAGAAGATCAATACACCCCACCCCTCCTTTATTCTCCCTCTCTTTTATCTACCTTCACTTTCCACTTTGGCAACAGCAATACCATTGCAGTTGAGAAAATAAATAATGGAAGGAAAACAAATGTGAAACCTCTTTTTTATTTGCAGAGCCCAGCAACTGAAGAATAAATGCCCTTTCATATTTCTCAGCTTCTTCATCACATGCTGCCTGCAAATGCAAATAAACACAGTGCACCAAAGAATTTAAAATATACAATACTGCAACACACACACAAAGGTGGATGCAGAAAATAGAAAAATAAATTCAAATGTCCACCATTGCAGATAAACACTATCCTTTCCTTGCACTGGGCTGAGCAAATGACTCGGAAGGGATAAGATCATAAGATAGAGCCAAGGTTGCAAAAAAAGGATTTCATTCTCAAATAGTCAAATGTAAACTCATTTCAGTCATTAAGGACAAGCATGTTAGAGGAAATCAACCATTGAAGCAAACTTGCCATCCTTTATTCCCCGCACACATGGCAAGGACAATTCATCAGATTTGAAATATCTTGTCCTTAATCCTCCAAAAACTCTTAATCAACTCTCAATCACCAAATCAAGCATGAGACTTTTAGGCCTAAACACATCCTTTACTCCCTACAATCTCAGGCTCACTATCCCCCACCCCGCTCTTTTGGAGATTAAACTGAACAAAACCCTAGAGTTTGGGAGAGATCACCAAAGAATGCAAAGCTATTTGAAACCTTCCTAAAAGTATATATTGATAAGAATTAAGACTGAACACCACTTTATCCACATTTCTATATTACCAAAAAAAACTAGTGTAGTTGTTAAATTGTTTAATACTGTTAAGGCTATAATTCTTTAGATCATTTGTTGGAGATCAAGTACTGGGTGCCAAGGATATTCCCATACTATCTAGAACAACAACAGTGTCTGTGTAGATAGTGAAATAGTGAAGCATAGTAGCACACAAAAGCAATTACTCATCACACACCTTTGGCAGCACAATAATTGCATTCTGATGGAAAACTTACATTTACAAGCAAAGAGCTGAAGGGATTTGAAGAAGGCTCTTGGGAAGAATACACTTGATGAAGAATTGCAAATGCAACCAACCGCTGAGAGGGTTTAAGAAATTTACCCTACAAAGAAAATTTGTGTTATCTACTGAAAGCATCATATAGTCGTTAACTTGTATTCAAAAAACCTAGCCGATTGTCAGTACCTTTAGACAGATCTTTAATGATTTGCAGTGATTAAAACTACATTTAAAGCCCCAAAAACTCAAAACTCAACTTAAGCTAGACATTGTATTTGATTTTAATTAGCCATTTCTGGACCAAAGCCATCTTTTGAAATATTTAAAACTAAACCAATGTTACAGGCACATTGTTAAATATGTTGGTGATTTTGGAACATCTGAGGTCACCTTTATTAATGAAATATGATTCTTGTCTCATTTTTCTTTTGAAGAAGAATAAGGTTGAGCAAAGAAAACAGACAGAAATTAAATAAAATAATAATAATAAAAAGGAAATGGAAAAATAAATTAAATAAAGCCACTAAATTTAATACAAATATTTCCTTCTCAACTTCAATTCTTATTCCCGAATTGAAACAGAGCCCTGGGACTTGAACTGAGAGGACAATTCGCATAGGCATGCTTCCAGACAATAAACGTCAGATAAGGTCCACAAAGTAGAAGTGAAAACCCTACCTTTTGGAGCATAACATATACAAGCAAATACACAAGCGCTTATGTCTATGTATAACCATAGAAAGAGAGAGAGGTACTGAAGAACATTGCTCGTATAGAGGAACAAAGAAAACTGGGTTTCTACCTCGAGGATTAAAGCGAGAGACACACAGGCATTGAAATAGCGAGGTGGAGGGAACTTCGATTTGAACTCTCCAACAATATCTTCCAACAGTCTGCCTTGATCTTCTCCGGATTTGAGCAACATTAACAGCGTGCTCGATTCTTCTCTTCCGATCATCTCCGGTCTCTCGGAGTCTACTCAGAGGCTTCTTCAATTTCTTTTTTTCTTTTTTTTTTTTTTTGGAAAGTGAAAGAAGAGCAGAAAGCAGAAGGGGTGAAAATGCAGTGAGGGAGCTGCGAGTGCGAGTGCACTTGCCGTGTGCAGGATACCGGAGAGGAATGAAAGGGGGCACTCCTGTGATTGCGTCTGTACAGTAGTTACCCAATGGCTCCCTGACACGTCTCCACCACCTATGTGGCGTTTGGTTTACGAAAATAAAAAGAAAAAATAAGTATAAAAATAAGATTTCTAAACAAATAAAATAAAGAAAGAATATAATATATAATATAGACACTATTACATTCTTTAGTTGGATTATGGAGTTATATTAGTTGTATTTTTAGTTGGTTAATAAATAAAAATGAATTATATAGTCAAAAAATCAAAGTATCCATATTCAAAATAATAAATCTACTAATCTACCAAGAGTCAATAATGTTAGGTCCTTAACTGGAACAAAAAAAATGTCAGTATTGTTGGTTTTCACAACTTCGATGGTCGTTCGGCAGGCCAACACCATCGAAAAGATGTGCTTGGGAGATTATGAAAACAAGAGATAAAGTATTAAAGAGAGAGAATAATGTGGTATTATTTCTCTAGGGTTTTTGCCCTCAAAAGTGCCGATCTGATACATGATGATCCCGTGGGGATATTTATACATGAGTATGGGGTTCGTACAAGGTAAGTAGGGTTGACGTAAGGCCAAGCCTAAAGAGGAGATAGAGCTGACGTAGGGCCGATGCAGCCGCCTACTTACTACCATAAATCGTATAGACTAATTAAGGAAGCTTCTTAAATTAGCAGAGATTGCTTCCGTAAAATCCTCTGATATCCGTTTCTGGATACGCACCCGGTCAGGAATGCCCCGGCCGTCATGGGAGTATCTACTGGGGCCAACGTATCCAGGCGAGGACACTCCGCCTGCGAAACCTAGTCGCGCAGTCGGGTTCGGAGCAGCGCACGGTCGGGGACACACCGCCCGCGTAGCCTGGTCATCCATCTGAATCCCGAAGAGCATTCAGCCGGAGACACACCGCCCACCGAGTCTGGTTGCCCAGCCAAGTCTCATCCGAGAGCCCATTCGGGGACGCACCGGCTGCTGAGGTTGGTTGCTAAAGGATGAACAACTGTCGTCGCAAAACACCTTGTACGATGGCTGGGAGGGGCCCTGGAGATTCCCCACCTGCTAAGAATCGAGCCATGTAGAGATGAACATGGTTCGGTTTGAACCGTAGGCTCGAACCGGAACCGTGACTGTGCAAACCGAAACCGTCCGTACGGTTTCAGTTCCGGTTCTTAACCGGAACCTATAAGGTTCCGGTTAAGGTTTTGTAAAATCTTGGAACCGGAACCGGAACCGGCGGTTCCGGTTCCAAACCGAAAAAAATTAAATATTATAGTGTTTTTTTTTTTAATAATTCCGGTTAGAACCGGCGGTTCCAACCGGAACCACCGGTTCTGAACCGGAACCGGAACCTTACTATAAGGTTCCGGTTCCGGTTTCGCCATCCACGGAACCGGAACCGGAACCGAACTGGAACCAGAACCGTGGTCACCCCTAGAGCCATGCCTTGACCCGGACCCAGCTGCCTTGACAGACCTTCCCGTCCAAGCGGCTATTTTGGGGTATCTATCAGGTATAATTGTTTCTTGAAATGAATGGTTAATATTATTTTAATTTTAGTATTTTTATGATTTTCCTTATTTACCCTCTATAATATTATTTCCTTCCCTTAAATAACCCTGGATTCCGTCAGTATAAACTTTGGTAACGGAATATTCCGTTAACTATTTATTATTCTTAACTTACTCATTAGTTTCTATAAGAAAGGTCTTAGGTCCGAACCTCATCTCAATCAAAGTTGGCATAATTGTTAAAGGTTCGAACCTCATCCCAATCAAAGTTGACATAATTGTTAAATATATACTACGAAGATATTAAAATATACGGAGTGTTAAAAAAATAAATACAATATAAAATTTAACATAAACTTTGGTCAAATAATTAGCCCGACTAAATACAAAACATTCAAAGTTGAGCATCAAAGATTATAAATCATGAACTTTGAAAATCATTTTCTTGCATTAAAAAAAAAAAAAACAAATTTAGGTTTAGGTTTTTTTTTCGTTTAATTAATCTTCTTTTGATTATTTAGAACAAAACTCAATATTTCAATTATGCTTTTTTGCATTATTGGAATGATTTAGGTCATTATGGTTTTAATATTTTTTTGTATGTCTTTTTATAATGGTACAATTGTACATTACTTTACAAATATTATACTATTATTTTTTTATCAGACAAAATTGTTCTTACATCATTGTCAGACATGCACGACCTAATTACAAAGTTGTTTGATCAGAAATACAATTACACATGGACTCTAAAACGATAGGATAATTTTCCAAAGAATTGACAATGTTACATCCCACTGGCTCAAATTGAACAAGTTTACACATCATTCTTAGCATGGCCCCTGTGCAAGGATGACACGCACAAATCGAGAAGTGGTACACATCATTCTTAGAATTTTATCAATGTATGAAAGTTTCTAAAAAAATTTGTAAGTTAATTTTTATTATATCATTATAACAATATCTATTGTAACAATATATTTTGAATTATTTATTATCATCATCTATTGACAGTAAATGTAGCAATTTTCATTGACAAACTTCCAAAATAATTTGTCTCAATAACGAATGTAAATTAAAAAATCAATGACTTTAATGTTGTTGATGAAAAACATTTACACCACTTTATTACTCTTATTAAATTAAATAAATTGGTAGCTATAACAAAAAATAATACATATGCATTTAATTAGTTTAGAATTAGATGTCTATAATGTCATTATTCAAATATATACATACATACATACATACATACATACATACATACATACATACATACATACATACATACATACATACATACATACATACATACATATATATATATATATATATATATATATATATATATTATAAAAATTTTAAAAAAGATATAATTTCATTAGTTATATTATATTTATTTTCTACAACCTTCAAAAAAAATATTTATTTTCTACAATTCAAAGATTCATTACCTTCAATTTAAATTCATTAATTAATTATATTCACTACATTGCACATTGTCTTCTTTTTTACATTATCTTATAATTAAATATCAAAGTTATAATAACAAATATGTTATATATTTATTTACTAAGTATTTTATAGAAATATAATAAATATTAATATTTTGTTCAATACTTTTACATGATAATCTATGACACACATCTCACAACACATGAAACATATGTATGAAAAAACAATCACTACCAAATATCAATATGCACTTGTAAGATAAAGAGTTCATAGTACATCAAAGATCTCAGTCATATACACAACAAGGAAAATCTAAAACTTCCAACACCATAATCTATTTGTATGATGATGCCCTCTATGCTACCACGAGTAACCCAATTACACATAACATACTATCAATAAAAAAAAAAAAAAAAAAAAAAAAAAAAAAAAAAAAAAAGACATGACATGTACTGAGGATGAAGACAATGACAATGCTACGCAAAAGAGAATTAAGAAGACTTAGAGAAATTTAAACCAAAAGTAGTATTTATTTAGACTATCGCTTTTAGACTAAGTATTTAGACTAGCGTTATTACAAAGTTGCAAACATTTATTTTAGTGACAATTATAATCATTCTCTCATATATTATCTTACATTTATATACTTTAAACAAATTCAACATTCAATTTGAAGTACTTATTTAAAAATACTTTATATACAAGAACATCTCCTATATAATATTGCATTGATATACTTTGAAGTACTTATTTAAAAATAATTATTAGGCATTATCCCATTCGCGCAATGCGCGTAAAAAAAAACTAGTAAACAAATAAATATGCATATCAGTATATGTGTGTATGTGTGTGTATATATATGGGCATATTTTTATGAAAATTGCCCCCCATGCGCGAATTAGGAACAAATCATAATTGTCCATATGAAAATTTATAACGGATCATAAGCAATTAAAGAAAAATACAGTGATACTTTTATAAATAAATTAAACTTTAAAGTGGAATTAATAGCACTATAGAGTAGGGCTGTGCAACGGACGGATCGGATCGGATCGGACTGGTTTTCCGTTCATCCGATCGGATTGCGGATTGAAATTTTGAAGTCCTATCCGTCCGTTTTGAAACTAAAACCCTATCGGATATGCTATGTCGGATTTCGGACTACTCGGATCGGATGTCGGACCTAATTCGGATTTGGAAAAGTTCATTGATAATTGAAAATAAAAAACTGAAAAAACATAATAATGATAATATGATTAACAAAATAAGTAATAACTAATAAATTAACAAACTAAAACATGCAAGTGATGCAACAACTTAATAATGGACAGTTTGGAGAGCAAAATAATTCAAGTTTACAAACCAAAGTGCAAAAAGTAAACGAATACATAAAGAATATAAGTTTAAGTGTTTAACTTCCAAAACATTACAAATTTGAAGTTAATCACTTAAACAGAACTTCAGCAAAACAGCAAGTCAGCAATCATTCAAGTAATCCAGTCTAGGCCTTTTCATCAAATCATCAATCACCATTCACCATTTCTACACGACTACACTTCTTCCTGTTAATATGAAAACTTAACAGAATATTAGATTATTAGACAACCTATGTAGTCAACAACTAACTAAGTAGGGGCATTAGGCTAATAGCCTTATAGGCTCAGATTGCAATTTTCCATTTCAAGCTAGGATAGTGGCAAATTGCTCAAATGTGTTATTATAGCACATGAGCAACATAGCAACACTATACCATTTGTTCAGACAGTGGTGGAAGCATCATCATTGCCAAAAAAACAAGTAAGAATAAATAATAATGCATTAAAACTGAACAGAGATCAGTTAAGAGGATGAGAGAAATACCAGAGATCCAGAATGGATGTAATGGGTGTTATGGGAGTATGGCAACTCTAAGTGGGGCAACATTTCTATAATATACTTATAGAAAGTTGCCAAGCCACTTAGACTGCAGATATTCTCACAGTTTCATCTTTTGAAGGCCATCAGCAAACAACAGTACAACATCATAACATATAAAGATAAATAATTACTGAAA